GCTCCTTCTCCTGCTCCTGCTCCTGCTCCTGCTCCTGCTCCTGCTCCTGCTCCTGCTCCTGCTCCTGCTCCTGCTCCTGCTCCTGCTCCTGCTCCTGCTCCTGCTCCTGCTCCTCCTCTCGCCATACACTTCCTGCTCCGCTTCCTCCTCCTCTTACCCTACTCCATCTTCGAAGAGGACGAGGACTTCCATCAGATACTCCCCTGCCTCTGATAGCGTGTAGCTCACGCTGTGCCTCCCGTTCTGTTGGTCGTGGACCTGCAAATGAGGGAGAGGAGGATGAGAAACAAGGCAAGAGGAAGAGGAGACAAGAGGGGGAAAGAAGAGGAGAGGAGAAGAGGAGGAGAAACCTTAGCTTGTAGCAGCGAAGGTCCTGTTAGCAGAACGAAGAGCTCGTCGCCTCCTGTCATTAGGATGAGTCACTTCTATGCAAATGAACTCCTCGCTCCTCTCCTCCTCTCCCAACCTTCTTGTTTCTTCTTGTTTCCTCTGCTCTGCTCTGCTCTGCTCTGCTCTGCTCTGCTCTGCTCTGCTCTGCTCTGCTCTGCTCTGCTCTGCTCTGCTCTGCTCTCGCTCTGCTCTGCTCTGCTCTGCTCTGCTCTGCTCTGCTCTGCTCTGCTCTGCTCTGCTCTGCTCTGCTCTGCTCTGCTCTGCTCTCTCCTCTTCTTCTCTGCCTTCCCCCTTCAACTTCCCTCCCTCGTTCCCTTCCTCCTCCTTTCCTCCCATCTCACCTCCACTCCCACACTCCGCATGTGATGCCCCAGCGCTCTGTTGTCGCGCGGGAAGCATGGCCCTCCGAACCTGCGGGCAGATGAGAGAAGCCGGGGAGGAGGGAAAACAGGAAAGTGAGGTCAGGGAGAGGGAGGTGAGAGGTGGAGAAGAGAGAGTGCAAAAGTGGAGAGGAAGGAAAGGAGAGGAAGGAAGAAAACGGTAGGAGGGAAGGGGGGGGCGGGAGGGGTAGTAGGGGATTTTCAACGCACCCGTATCCAGGTTTCAAGCACTTGCTTCCAATCCCTGAGACAAACGAGTTGATGAGCCTCCTCTCTCTCCAACTCCTTCATCCAGTGCTCCCGTCCTCTTTCTATCCGTTTCTCGCTAATTTCACATCCTCCCGCTCTTACTCCTGCTCCTGCCCATGCTGCTGCTGCTGCTGCTGCTCATCTTCCTCCTCCTCCTCATTCATAACTTGCATCTCTCCTTCTCCCAGTACTCACTTGAGTCACACCCAACAGCTTCAAGAATGTCTGTCTTGTCTGCCCCCTCAGTGTTGTCAGCAGCATCTCCGATCATGTTGGCGAAGGCGATCTGAAGGAGCAGGAACAGAGCAAGTAAGATGATGAGAAGTTGGAATCATGAAGTTTATCGTCGTGATTATTGGTGGTCATGATGATGATGATGATGATGATGAAGAGCAGGAGCAGGAGCAGAAGCAGGAGCAGGAGCAGGAGCAGGAGCAGGAGCAGGAGCAGGAGCAGGAGCAGGAGCAGGAGCAGGAGGGGGAGGAGGAGGAGGGGGAGGAGAGGGAGAAGGAGGAGCAGGAGCAGGAGGAAGAAGAGGAGGGTGACGTTGTTGATACCTTGGTAGTGATGAAACAATTAATTGCAAGCTTGCAGATCTCTGCACTCTCCGGCGACATTCTCCTGATCTGTAAAGCAAAAGTGAAACATCATCATCGAGAATGTTATCGTCATCGTCATCGTCATCGTCATCGTCATCGTCATCGTCATCGTCATCGTCGTCATCATCATCATCATCTACACCTTAATCATCTCATTACCTCAGGCTCATTCTCAACCATTCTTCGGTACATCGTCTCAAGGACATCGCCAGCATCTTTCGTCCCTTCTCCGATCAGCACCATGTCTGTTTGCAAATAGCATCTCTTTCTCAATCATTCAAACGTCCAGCAACTTGCATCTCACCCGGTCGCAACAATCCCCGTATAACATCGCCCTACACGACATGTCAACATCGCAAAATTCTGAGAAGAACAGGAGCAAATACATCACCTGAGCAATAAATTCTGGGTTGTACGAGATGGTTGTGTTGACGCAATCCTTGACGAGGAAATTCGCAACTTTCCTGCAGTACCCTGGGAGAACCTACGAAAACACTTGCATGACATGGAAGCAGAGGAAGAAGGAGGGGGAGGAACATGGACGAGGAGGGAGGAAAAATCCGCAGCATGAGGCATGGGAAATCAGGAGAAGAGCAGGAGCAAGAAGTTGAGGGAGGAGGGAGGAGGGAGGAGGGAGGAGGGAGGAGGGAGGAGGGAGGAGGAGGAGGGAGGAGGGAGGAGGGAGGGAGGGAGGAGGGAGGAGGGAGGAGGGAGGAAAGGAGTAACTTTCTCCTCACAGTGCAGCAGATGACGATATGTTTGTTGTGCAACTTGCGCTTGTTGAGAGAAGACAAGACCATACTGAGCGCCTTCAAGTCTCCACCATCAACCCATCTCAGCACTGGCTCGCATCACTCGCACCGAGTGATCGTAGTGTCGGTCGTCCACACCCGTCGATGGAGTAGCAACGACTAGTGACAAGTCACAGGACAGGACAAGATCGTCATGGCAGACTTCACCTATCATGATCACGTCTGCAAACTCAACTCCCTCGTCCTGTTTGATCCTCGTCACAACTTGCGCGATGAGCTGCAAACAGCTGCAAGAACCTCGTCCGTGGTCGCTCGGAAGTTTTTGCTGGAGAAAGAGATCAGTCCGACTTTTTGGATGTTGATGGAGATGATGATGGTGGTGGTGGTGGTGGTGGTGGTGGTGGTGGTGATGGTGATGATCAAGATCGAACCTCGTCGCCAACATCTCGTTGACTGAGGGCTCCGGGCTGTTCAGTGTCTTCTTGTTGATCTACATGCAGTACATCAGAGCAGACGAGTGAACAGAGAAAGAGATCGGTAAGAACAGAAGAAAAGATTTGCAACAAGGTTTAGTTTCAGTGAGAGCGAAGACACGAGTGTGCAATCGCATTCAAGATTGTTAAAGAGCATCACAAGAGGTTATCATAGCACATTGTGTTTCAAAACATCATGCCGTCAACCATCTTGAAGGAATGGCAGAATGTTTTCAAACCTTGTCGATGTATGCAGAGTTCACATCTACTCCCAAGACATGGTATCCAGCCTTCTCCAGGCAAAGAGCTGTACAGATGCCAAGTCGGCCAACACCTAATGATGCTTGAGAAAGACCGAAAAGGAGGAGGAGGAGGAGGAGGAGGAGGAGGAGACGGGGGAGGGATCAAGGGGAAAGGGAAGAAAAGAGAGAGGGGCGGCGAGGGGAGAAAGAGCATGGAAGAGAAGAGATGGAGAGGAGGGAGGGAGGGAGGGAGGGAGGGAGGGAGGGGAGAGCAAGACCGAAGAGAGTCACTCTGTCTGCAGGCTGATGAGCTCCGTTCATGGTTCGTTCGCTGCCACAGAGGAGGATCAGGATACGACCATCAAACGAAAGGAGGGTACGGATCTAAGGGAAAGCTCTTCTTTCCTGATCTTACTCCGACTTCTCTCCTCCTCTCCTCCTCCCTCTCTCTCTCTCTCCTCTCCCCTCCTCTCCTACCATCTCATTCCTTCACCTGGTCCTCTTGCTCCTACCCTCTACCTCAGCCATCGCATCTTGTCTCGACACTGGAAGTTACATACATCAACCTGCTGTCTTCCTTTCCTTGTCCACTAGTCTGCTCTGACCTCTCCTTCCGCCATCTTTGCCGCTACCGACCTCCTCGTCTCCTCGTCTCCTCTCCACCTTCCCCCTCTCGCCTCGCACTTGCCCTCCCCACGCTGCGCCCTTTGTGCATTGATTATCCAAAATTCCCAAGGGTAGGGTAATCAAATGTACCCCTGCTTTCTAGGTGTAAGTTGTATATAAGAGTAGGGGTACAAAGAATGAAAGAGGGGTGGGTAACCAAAGGTCGGTTGTCGGGAAAAGCAGGATCAGTCCCGATTGCAATCCGTCGATCTAGACAGGGCATGAGGAGGGCAGGAGGGGGAGGGGGAGGAGGGGGAGGGGGGGGGGGGACAGGGGAGGGGACGGGGATGGGGAGGAGGAGGAGGAGGAGGAGATGCGGGTGGGCGGGCGGGCGGGTAATGAGGGATGAGGGGACGGGTGGGGTACCGTTGAGTGTAAGGGAAGTATGAGGAGGAGTTGAAGCCGCGAATCTGAATGTTGAAGCTTTCTGCTCTTGTTTGCATCCTCTACCTGGGCACAGCCTTGGGAGAGGAGCTGGGAGAGCTCGATGGTGACCAAGCAGGAGCAAGAGTCAGTTTCATCAGGCCCACTCAAAACGAGTTTGTCACAGGTGTCAAAACTTGTTAGCTGTGATACTTTGACGAGCATTCAACTTGGTGGCATGCGATCTCTATGACAACCTTGCGATGAAATGTGATAGATGCCTGTGACAGACTTGTTCTCTTCCTCCTGCTGTGTAGTTGTCTTGACAGGGCTTCCCCAGCTCCGATCGACGTTCAAGTGCAAGTGGAGTGCTTCGGAGCGGGTCAGTCAGGGGTACACCAAGTCGCCGTCTATGTGAAGTGAGAGGGACTAGCTTCAAGGCGATGCAAGGGCTGACTTTCTCCTCCAGCTCTCATCACCTGACAACCTTCAGATCCGCATGCAACAGCACCTCCATGCTCCTTGACTTGGACCTCTCCCGCCCGCCGACCCCCAACAAGCTTGAGTTGCTCCTCCTCCACGGGACATCCGGTGTACAACTGGACAGCATCGCTGTCAGGCTATGGACGGACGACAAGGAAGTTGAGGAAGACGTTGTCGAATTTCTGTCGGCAAGAAACCAGCTCGAGAAGGAGAACAGCAGGCTCAAGAACGATCAGCGGGGAAGAGTCTTCTTCATGGAACTTTGCGCACAAGGAGCACAAGGAACTAGCTCTCTCAGAGAGGTAGTCGGTGCTGTCTCCAGGACAAACCGTGAAACCATTGAGAGCTTTGGGTTTGATCAGGGCGTGTTGTGCCGGGAAGACGTGTTGTTGTCGGATGTTATGCTGGAGGTTCAATCATTGCTGGAACAGCGCGAGATTGTTGTCCTCTTCAACTCTGTATTTCTCCTTGTTCCTGAGTTCTTATCAGCTCTTAGAGCTTCTCTGCTTCAGGACTTTGTGGGCCAGTCATGCTTCCTCAACCAAAGCGAGTGTTTGCTGTCTTCATTCGTGGCTCCAACCTCTGCAATCGGAGAATTTTTGATGTTTATCAAGACGGATTCACCAGTGCTGAACATGTTAGACGACAAACGCTGCATGTTTGCATCTTCTCTTTCAGAGATCAAGGCATCGACTCACGGTAGCAACAGCTTTGCTTCTCTCTCCCTCGCAGTCTCGTCAGCCATGGACTCGCTTCCTCCCACGGGCGAGTGCAGCAGCGACATGCTCGTCGTGTTCGACGGGATGAGGAGAGGCAACGAGCTGCCGCCCAACAAACCTGCAGCCCTCGATCTCCCCCAGACCCTTTCGCGACTCTGCTGCGAGCATCGAGAGGGTTGCCAGGGAGTCGCTGCCTGCAGCGAATGGAGCGTGGTGGACCAGGGGACGGAAGGAAAACCGGAGAGGACGCTGCTGCCTCCGCCGGAGCTCAACGATGGAGCAGAGGAGGCTGAAGCATACAGCAGCGTCTACCTCAGCATCATCGTTCCCATCAGGGACAGAGAGGAGAGCTTGCAGAAGCTCGCAGACAGCCTCGCGCTCCTGCTCCTCCCCCGGGTCCCCTACACCCTCTGGGCCGTGGAGCAGCAGGACAGTCGACCTTTCAACCGAGGGGCGCTGCTCAATGTTGGCTTCTTGCTCGCAGAGGCCTCGGGGTCGGAGCTCTTCGTCCTGCAAGACGTGGACTACATCCCCCTCCCCTCGGCCCTCCACCTCTACCTCGAGCCTCCTCTGGGAGGTCCCAGGTGCCAAGACTCCTCTTCCACTGGCAACGATGCCTCACCTTGTCCTCCAGGCACCTTCTCGGACGCGTCGACTCGGCTGGAGGAGCGATCCTGGTGACCTCCGACCAGTATCGGCTGGCAAACGGATATCCAAACGGGTTTTGGGGGTGGGGCTTCGAGGATCACGACCTCCTGAACAGGAACTCCCTCTTCCCACCCCTCCTCCTGCTTCTTCCTCTCCCTCCTACCCATGTAGCTTCGTCTCCTTCCTCCTTCGTCTCCTAGGTCCTTCTCCTTGCCCCTCTGCTCTCTCACTCACACCTCTGGTCCTCGCTCCCATGGCGTCGCGCTTGTCTTTCGGTGACTTGCTCTTCGCTCAGGTTCGAGGAGGTCGGGCTGCACATGGAGAGATGGCACTGGCCTCAAGGAAGCTTCACCTCCTTCCAACACTTCTTGCAGCTCAAGGACTGCTGGGGAAGTCATGGGAATCAGAGCACCTGTCCTCCGACGTCGGCCGAGCAGCTCCGAGCTCGCATCGACGCGCAGCGACGAAACAAGATTCGCTTCCTAGCCGCCAGGGCCTCAGCTCAGGTCTACGGCAAAGTTGCCGACTATGTAGGGCGGGAGGTAGAGGAGGAGGTTCTGCAACAACGGCGGCAGCGCTTCCATGCCGATGGCGTCAGCAGCACAAGATTCGGGCTGGCGGCAGACGGCTTCTCTCGATGTGGACCAGCCTGTCTGAGGGTGAAGGTGAAACTCCAGGGACCGGAGTGGAGTGAGATTGTTTAGATACGTGCAACAACATGTGTATAGGAACACTTGTCCTCAGCCCATCTCGGCTCGTTCCCTTAGGATTCCTCCTCCTCCTCGCCCACGGACGAGTGCGAAGGACCTCCAACGGCGTAGCTGCCCATTGTGAGGCGAACATCGCACAGCAAATCTCCCCTCACCTGTAGGGAACGTAGTCTCCGTTGGTGTACTCAGCGATCGTCATCGGCTGCCACCAGTTAGCTAGGCTATCAACCACCGCAGGCAGCTGCACCTCATTGTTCGACCATGGCGCGGGATCCTTCACGTTCTGGCCGCCACGATCTCCTGTCAAGAGTTCAGCCCCCTCCCTTGATCCACAGACTCCCTCACCCCAGAAGGAGTTGGTTCCTGCAAGGACTGGGTCGTATTCCATAGCTGAGTTCACAGTTTCATCGGGCAGGACCTGCACACAAGAGATGAGGATGAGAAACTGGCATGCAAGAAGCTGAGGTTTGCCTCTGTCTCCTCCCCGTCATGCAGCACAGTATCATAGTATCCAGCCCATCCATTCTCCGAAGTGACGGAGCCTGGGTTCTTGAAGGCATATCCAACTGGAGGGTTCGGACAAAACGAGTCAATCAGGTAAATCCTGGGCCCTCCTTGTCCTGTCTCCTACCTGCGGGGTCCGACTGATCCTCCCACGCCTGAGCTTCCGTTGGAAGCACCTGAAGCCTCCCATCAGTGGGCAGGAGTGGAAGGAGGAGGAAGACCTCGTCTATGCCCTCCCACGCCTGTTCCGGCGAGTACCAGATGTTCTTGACCCCCTCTGGGGCATTGGTCGTGTCGTAGGGAAGACCGCTCCCAATGTCGGCGGCAAACGAGGACCCGAGGACGCTTGGCCCTGCAGTCCAAGAGTGAATCAGAGATAAGGGTACGTTGCCCGCCGTCCCCACCAGCTCTCTGCTGCCCGATCACAGCAATAACAGCGATGCTGCCCAGGACGAGGGTTGCAGACGCGATGAAAGTCGCGGTTGCCCGCAGGCTCATCGACTTGCCACTGGGCGAATCCTTCCTCCTAGGAAGAGATCCGTACTCCACAACCATCACCATGATGACCTGCCGCGCACAAGCTTGTCAACAGCGATAGTTGTAGGTTTGTAAGCAGCCGGGCCGGGGCTGCTTCATGTGTTTAGCTAAACATGGATCCTGCGTCCTGGCAATGCTAGCTTCGAGTGTCACCTCGACAAAATGTTCTATTCCTGTCCATCTAGCTGACAACAGAGAAGGACATAACAAGCTTCTCCCTTAGCAAACTTGAAGACACTTCAATGTGAAGACATATGAAGACACTTGAAAGCATGGCATGAAGACACATACATGCATCAAGCACTGCAGCATCAAGGCGTGATCTCTCTCTATCACACAGCCATAAGTTGTCTATCGCGACTGCGCTTCCATATCCGCCATTGCAATCAGCTCATTCGCAATCCAGCAGGGACATGGCGGGCGCGGCTTAGTGAAGAGTCACCCCAGGCTACGGACCGAAGGCAAATTCAGAACTTTCCGTTACTCATATAACGGTCACGTATACTAGCCCACCAAAGTTCCGAAGTTCCGGGGGCCGCCCCGACGATCATTCCGAGTTCACGGTCACAGGCTGAGTCCGGTCCGATCTTTACTGAACTTCCGAAGTTCAGGCTTTGAAACTTCTTGTCTCAACTCAGTTAGTACGGTCTGCGGGCCGTCAAGTTGCCAAGGCTTTTTGCCAAGTTGACTGAGAGTCATCACGAGCGGCCCGGCTGAGCCTGGTACTGAGTACCCCCGGTTTCGGTGGCAGTGCAGTGTCAAGTTCTCCGGCGCTCCGTCTTTTCTCTTCTCGCCCGGTGTCAGTGGCCTGTGCGACAGCCTCCTCGACTCTCCTGATTGTCCTCGTACTGATCTTTAAGGCTTCGCACTTTGATGGCACGCGCCGCCTGAAGCCTCCCGGCTCAAGTTCCATGATTCACTGAGCAAAGTTGGCAAGTGACTCAGTCAACCGGGAGGCCCCGCCGGGCCGGGCCCGCCCCACATCTTACTTGACCGGCTGTCAAAATCATTCAAGTTGAAGTGTCGCCCGGCGTCATGGCTCAGCGGCTGGCGGAAGGCGACCGTAAAGGCCATGGCGGCGCAGTGAGGAGATGAGACTGTGAGAGTAGAGGAACGAACCTTTGCCACTGGTCGAGAACGAGCTTCTGAGGCTTCAATCATGACGATCACCAGGAATCTTCTCTCCGTCCCTATCATCTGCCTTTTCTTTCTAATCGATCAGTGCTCAACACAAACACCGTACGTGCAAGGAGTCTACAGCATGACCTATCAATTCATGGAGATGCAGGGCGATGTGAATGACATCGTGCCCCCTCCCTGCCTCGGACCTTTCCCTTACTCCTACAGCTACGAGCTCTCCATCACTCAAGCGCAGGGCTCCACCACCATCTACTTCTGTTATGACAAGAAGGATTGTACAACAAGGACCCTGAGTGCCGTGATCCAGATGGGATCGCAAGAGGTCCTGAAGCAGCAATGTGCTTTCCAGCCGTACCAAGGGCTCTCGGCCTTCGGCGTGACCCCTCTGGCCTCGGCTCCGTCAGTGCAGAAAGAGATGAAGCCTCAGCGAGTCATCGGAAACACTCGACTGGACATCGAACCTTACACGTTCAGCTCCTTTCATGTTGGGACCAAGGATCCGCTTGTCTGGGGGATGTTTTGTAAGCAGTACAACTGGCCGGATGGCCCTGATGGCAGGAATTTCAACTCACGCGGATCTCTCTACTATCGCAACACTTGGAGGAATGAGAACGAAACATGGTTGTTCATCAGAGAGATCAAGAATTGCCCCTGCTATCCAGCATGCGCAGCATGTGAAGAGCTTGTAGATGGCACTGGTGCGATGTCAGAGCTGTGAACTAACCACCGCTGATGTTCGGTTGCAGTTTGGCTCCGCCGTGTTCAAACAGGTGCCGAAGGGAAGAAGTGTTTAGCAGCATTTGGTGCTGATTTCTACTTTGTTCGTGTTCCATGCTCAACCCTTTCTTTTTTTAACCAGGCATCACCGAAGATGCCTGCCCCTTCACAATCATTGGAGTAAGTGGTGGCCCAGTCTTCTTCTACGACAAGATTCCTCTGCAGGATGGATCTCCTCAGGTCCTCATGTTCATCACCATGAAGTGACTAAGTCATAGCTGTTTACAGAGGTGCTACCAGTACTCACAGATACGCGGAGACTACATTCGAGCTGTGGATACAGCGTCATCGACGTCATCGTCGTCAGCAACGACGTCCACATCAAAAACAGGAGCTTAGTGATACAGCGACTTAAGCCTGGCAAATATCTTTTCAATACATGTATGTCAATTCGCTCATAGCCTTGGGTTGTATGAGGTTTCTCGAGCGAGAGTTCATGCACACTCGTAACGAGTGCTGCTTAGTATACGACATGGTTGTCTTTTGATGAAGTCGGTGCGTGTAAGAAGTATTATTGAATTCAGAAGACGACAGAGGTGGATCAATCTGCATTCATCGGTCATACTGTTCGATGTTAAAAAGGCTCTTTTCCAGGGCTCATCTAGAGATTTTGGGATCTTGCTGTAACAATTACATCAATCAATCAAAACAGGAAAATGACGAGCGGAAAAAACATACACTCACCATCTCTCTTTCTTTCTTTGCCTGCTCTTCTTTCGCTAACCTTGCCTGCTTAGTTGCTTCCGCCTGATATAACAGTCCAGTGCTATTCAGAGGTGACAAACAAGGAATGCACAAAAATGACAAAATCCCATGTTTTTACCTTGTCAGCCAGAACAGGATCCTGGGCAAGAATGATCATTCAAAAACTCGAAACAAATACCATGTTCCTCTCATACTTTTGCTATCCCTCTTCTTTGCAACAATTCTTCGACCTCTCCAATCTCCATCTCCTGAGGTAAGTTGTGTTGGTGAATGTTCTCAGCAACGCTTGATCTTACGCTAATATCAACTCTCGCTTTCCCAAGATTCCCCTTCCGACATTTCAGAGCTGTAAAATCACAAAAATCGAACAACAACCTCAGGCACTGCTTCCGTGTCTTGAAACTGCATGATCTGCAAACACGTTTTTCGGAGAGTGTAGACTTGCATCATGGACATGTCAGGGTTGAAGCGGACGACATACCGGATCCATTCCAGGACTAGTTTTGATCTTGAGCCTAGGGAATGCTGTGGCACCCTCCGAGATCCAGTGCTTGAAGCTTCCAAAAGTTCAGGTTCTCTGGAGCGACATTCTACTGGAATACCGACGATACATGCCATTCAAGGGGCAGCCATCAGTTATCTCTAGCACAGCAAACTCTGCTTTCCAGTCAAGCTCCCTGGGCTCATGGAGCTTGAAGAATGCTGTCAAGGTGGCCGCGCTAGGCTTGTATCGGGGCTGAACTTTTTCTATAGCCTCGCTGCCACATCAACCTTATGAGAAGGTCGTTGCATGGCAGTTCTTCTCACCTTGCCTTGCAGCTTCCGTCTCCTCCTTCCTCCCCTTGTTGCAGTTCGCAGCTGACAAGCGAGACTGACATGGCGACTACCATAAGGGCCGCCCGCGCCCCTTGCCAACGCCTGAGCATTTTGTGTGGATCAGATGACTCTCAAACTTGCACGACCTCATTTTGATTTCAGTAAAATGTATTAGCTATCTAAATTACATTTTAAATTTCAAATTAGTTGCTGAGTATATCAAACTGTACCACAGAATGTCAAATTCTATACCAAAAAGATAAACTTGAGTAAACATTTTGGTACAAATCAGTTGAATATATAATAAGCCTGTGGTGGCCAAGGCGCGAGAGGGGGGGGGAGGGGGAAGGGGAGGGGAGGGGGAAGGGGAGGGGGAGGGGGAGGGGGAGGACAGCAGAGGAGAGGGCATGCGTGACGAGGCAGGGCAAGAAAGTGAGAGAGGAAGCAGATACAGAGGAAGGTGAGGATGTATTGGTAGTGTTTAAGCATCGTCGTTGTCTTGTTCAGCCTTGGAGGCTGCAGAATCGCTCCCAAAGGTGCGTTCATACCATTCGCTTGCGAGATCTGCGACCTCGAACATCCTTGGATGCTATGATTCAACGAGCCAAATCTGACCCTCTGTTCCTTGTCGCATTCTTTGTGCTGTACAAGTCGAGCGGGATGTCTCTCTGTCTATGTGCACGAGAGGCACTGCGAGTGAACCTCCCCGCGTGCTCGAGAAGGTCCGTCTCCCCCTTCTTGCCACCCGCAAGTTGAGGGGAGACTTCGGGAACACTTGATATGAGCATCTGTTGTGTTGTGCACAAGTGTCTCTTCCAACCTCCTCCAATCACAGTCCTTACATGTGATGCTGCAGGGACGAGGGCTCAAGGACAAAGCCGGAGCGATGCCAACAATGTTGTAGTTCCTGCGTAGAAGGAGACGGACGTTGGAGGATGAAAGTAGCAGTGATGTTCTTGTCGTTTTGCTCCCCCCTCAATCACTTTTGGGATGCCGTTAGTACTTAACCAGAAGAATTCAATAGAATTCTGAGTTGTATTGCGGATTTCAACCTTATTGTAACAAGTTGTTGAAATTAGGTACAGTCTGGCAAGTCTGAATTTAAAGTGAGAACTCAAAATCGAGTGATCTCTGTACGGCTGGAAGAAGGAAGAAAAGGCAAGTCTTGCCGACCTAGCAATGCTGCTTCATGTGAAGCTGTTTCTCCACAGATCTATGCATCCTCTTGTTCGAGATCTGTACAAGCGATTCATTCTTGTTGGTCGAGATTATCCTGGTATGTATCAAGTTATCAAGCATGAAGAAAATGTCAATAGCTATGGAAGGTGGTCTTCAGATCATCAAGAAGAAAGTGAAGGAAGCGTTCTTCACAAATCGCCATCTTGAGGATGACATAGAAATAAGGCGAGCTGTGGCTCGGGGCAGGTGTTTTAAGTTTTTGTTTTCATGCAGTAAGTTTGAATATCATCAGGTGGTACATACGGAATGAGCTCTGCGCTATTATTCAGTTCAAGAAGTATCGAGTGATGAAGGAGCGATACTCGCCCCACGAGTAGGTTTCTGTAGATATTGTTGAGGCAGTCAGAGACTGTCTTTGTACATGCTGATGTAGATTGATTGCTTTATGAACCAGAGGGTCTGAAGTGTGGTTGTGCAGTGTACAATAAACTCGGTTCGCTGTGTTGTATCGTGGTCACAATATTGGTTCCTTCCACAACACTTATTGCTTCCCTCGACGTTGGCTCCACTCACAAAGCAGGAAGGCTGAATATACCAGCAGTGTAATCTTTTTTCAATACGTACAGGATATCATTCAGAACGTATATAATATTTTTCAATACGTACAGGATATCATTCAAATTCGTGTAGGATATCATTCAATACGCACAGGATATCAATACCTTCCCTGCATCTTTCTCTGCCTCCCAACCCCTCGCCCGCTCCTTGCGCGCTTGCCCCTTCCCACTCCAATTTCCATGCCCCCGCTCCCCCCCCCCCCTTTCCCCCCCTATCACCCTTTCAGCCTTCTCGTTCTCCTATTTCTCTTTGCTCTCCCCTCCCATATGGCTCAATACTGTCTCAATTCAAACTCCTTCACGTCCTTTTCCGCTCGCTCGCTCCATCCTTTCCTCCTCCGCCATCGGTGACTTTGCACTCCCTTCTTCACCGTCACAATCCAATTGCTCCTTACCTCACTCAATTCTTCACCACCTTTCATTCCCTTCCTTCTGTTCTCTGTGATTCTTAAAACGGCAATGCATCAGCTCCACATCAGCCTTTCAAGGGCTTTTTATCCCTCCCCGAGACCCCATACAGAGCTCCTCTTCCTTGACACACTAAGGTTTGGAGTAAATTTTGGATGGAATAGACGAAAATTGGGCAAGAAGAGGGAGGAAGAGGGGAGATGATGGAGAGGCAGAGATAAAGTGCACGAAAGAAGGAAGGAGAGCTGGAATTTGGGTAGAATGTGCCAGGGACAGGGGTAGATATGAAGATATAGCTGGACAGTGGATGAGGGAAGAATTGAGACAGCGATATATTGATCGTGCGGGCAAGCAGGCGAAATGGATAGTGAAGGAGGACGGCGATCGAAGGCGTATATCGTTGTCTTTGATGGAAGAGGAATGATCTGAGGGAGCTCCCACAGGTGTTTCAGTCTCCTTCCTCCCCTTCCTCAACCCTCCCTCACGCCCCCACTCACTATCCGCCCCCCTGTTGAGCCTTTTTCTTTCCTCCGCCTTCCAATTTTGGACCAAAACCAAAAAAAGATAAAAATCTTTTTTTTCGGAGAGGCTACAATACATATAAAATCAATCCCCTGCCCGAAATAGAAAATTCCTCGATCGATGCCGAAACCATCTATTTCTATTATTTCGAGATTGTGAGATTACTCCGATCATACCACCCACCCCTCTCCTACCATATTTTCACCATCGGAAGTACCCCTTCTCGAACCTCGATTCGGCAATTGCTCGGGTCACGATGTTTTTTTGAATTTTTTTTTGACCAGAAAGTCGCTAAGACCCCGCATATCCTCTCTCCACCCCTGTCTTTACCACCAAACGCACCCTACCCCATGTCAAACTACCCCCTAGACCCCAGTACCCTATCATTTTAGTACATTTGACCCCGTTGTCGCGCCCCCTTCCATCCTACATGTTCACACCCTGGTACTATTCCTCTGATCCTCCTCGAAGCCTCTTGGCCGCCTGCCCCAGCCGCCTTCTCCTAATCACGCACTTCTCCTATCCTCTGCATCTTCTTGCAACATGCGTCTGCTTTGCTTGAACTCCTGAACACTTTCGTTGGCCCCCTATGCTTACTTGTGTCCTGGCCATCCACGAGTTGCACTACAAATTTCATCCGCAAGTTGCATGCATTCTGTTTCCTCTACACTCTCCTTTCGCATTGACCCGACCTTGTTTCTGTATGCTAATGCTTCATATCCAATCTTCATGTTAAAGAACATACTCTTCCCGTCTATCTCACTTTCTCAGTTGATCCATTAGCTTCCCATGTCGCCCCTCAAAAACGTTCATGAGACCATGTTGTTTACAGCATTTCACTTGATAACCTTTCATACCATCACCTGAAATTTTCCATTCCCGCTTCTCCTGCTCTTCACTGTGACATGAGAAGCGTTCAAACTCCATTGTATTTCAAATTTTCATGTTTCATTCCCCTGAATTGCCTTCTGCCCTTATCCATTCCTTCCTGATCTCCTCGACTCTACCTCATCCTCCAGTCTTAGGAGCGCTTACCACCTTTGCCAGCTCTAGTCGAGCAAAGTTGATATATGCACGAGACTGTCGTCTGACAGCAGAGGAGGCTAAGGGGTTTGTAGGTGCAAGCAGAAGTAGAAGGCCATCATCAGTCGACCTGCCATGTTTGCGATCCTGACATGAATACAGGACGCGTGTTGAAGGCTTACTGACGTGTAGTGGCGCCAGGACCTCGGCATCAGAACAACGGCATCCTTCTCTTGAGTGACAGCTCTGGACTCCCTTGAACAAGCCGTCTGCCCCAGCACGCGCTCATAGCAAAGCTCCTCTACCGGGCACGGTGACCTCCAGGTCATGTCATGACCTCATGGAGGCCCGGAGAGATCAGTACCAAGGCTTCGTGGAGACATGGGTGGGGGTGACTAGGGTGTGTACGAGCAGGGGATACTACAGACACGATCTGGGCGCCAGCCGTCTTGAGGTCGGGCGCAAGTCTTTGGCAGAGGCGATGAGCCAAGAGTGCCCGTCAGGGCTGCCGTCGGTGGACGACGAGCTGCCGTACCTGCAGATGTCGTCGTCGGACGTGGAGAGCTTCCTGGAGCCCGGGGGCGAGGACGTGCCGGCGCCGTCGCAAGGGAAGCGGAGGGCGGCCAAGGCGTGCGAGGGGTGCAGGAGAAGGAAGCTGAGGTGCGACGACGGGCGGCCTTGCGGGCGGTGCATGGAGGACCTTCAGGAGTGCGTGGAGGAGGACGCGAGCGCGAGGAAGAGAAGGAGGCCAAGCAGGGAGGAGACGAGCGGGAAGCCGTGCGATCACTGCCGGGAGAGCGGGCTGTGGTGCGAGGAGACGCGACCGTGCTGGCGCTGTGTGATTGCGGGGCTGAGCTGCACGGACAAGGGGGAAGGGGGGCAGGGGGGAGGGAAGGGGGAGGGTGGAGAGGGAGAGATTGTTATTGAAGGCAACCTGGGAGGGGCAGAGTGTAAGGGACAAGGGGAGGGAGAGGAGGTCGGAGAGGCTAACCTGAGTTTCAATGAGTTGTAATGTGCACGCTCAGGATGAAATTAGGAGGGATGTCGGAATAGCAAATATCAAATTCTTTGATCAAGAAGGTAGACTCACATAAATTGTTTGTAGTCGATTGTTATAGTGCAAACCACAACGGAATTCTCTCCGCTCATTCATCCCTCCTCGTCTTCTTTTGGACATGCTCGTGTTTCATTTCTTTTTGTTTGTTCTATTAGACTTTGTACGAATTTGAAGGGTTGCCTTCAAGAATGCTGCTCGAATCCAGCGCAAAATTCGGTGTGCTCAATAGTCCATTGGCCCTTCCTGGCATATAGGTCAACAGGCGAAGGCCAGCAGGAAGAAACAGGTTTACCTCAGGTATGTGATCTACGGAAACAATTTCAGAAGTGACAGCTTGTATTTCCAATTCGAGTTGAAAGGGAGTCAGCATTGGTGAGTGGCAGTGCTCTGAACACTAAGTGCTCTGAATATTCCTGCGATTCACTCAACCTCTCCCAACGCTCTCCCTCACCATCCTCGTCAGTCCCTTGCTCACTCTCGACCTGAACTAGTTCAGCCGTCCTCCCCTGGTCATGACTTTTCCATTCCGAAATAGAGGACCCCACCCCCTCTGTATCCTTTTTTTTCCAACTAAATGAACGGTACCCCATTTTTTCTACGAGTCATCATCCTATTTTCAGTAAAAAAACAATATCCCTTCCCGTCTTCCCCCTCTTCCTTGAAGGCCAGGTTCTCTTGTCCTCCATGATGCTTGTTCATAGTAGCCGTATCTTCTTTGCTTCATCCTCCCTCCCCTAGAGTTGCTCGTCCTTGCTGAAAGCCATCTGCAGCTCTGTCCAAAGGTCGCTGGGCCCCTGCTCCCAACGTTGTATCCATCTTTTGTCATGTAGCCAAATAAAAATCTGCTCTTTTTTTAACTTCTTACTTGGACCATTTCTTTCCTGTCCACACTTGCCTTCAATCATCGCTTGTTGTCCATCACAGTTGTTGTACACGCAACACCAGAGCAATCACTATTGCGTTTACTAGCACACAACGAGCACGACAGGCTACTACTGTCGGCTAGGACATGAAACCCATTCCCCTCCATGTGCGGGGCACGGTGTGCGGTATGAATCTTTGGTCTGGTCACCGTGCCCCAACAGTCATGGTCTAAACACGAGTCCTGTATCCTGAATTCCTCCTCACACCTCCACCTCAGCACTGCAAACAAAACTTCAATCATTCACCTCTGCGGCTGGAAATCTCAACAGTTGACCGATCCAATCCTTACCTGATCTCCTCGACTCTACCTCATCCTCCAGTCTTAGGAGCGCTTACCATCTTTGCCAGCTCTAGTCGAGCAAAGTTGATACATGCACGAGACTGTCGTCGGCTGTACATCGGCTGAGGGGTTGTAGGTGCAAGCAGAGGTAGAAGGCCATCATCAGTCGACCTGCCATGTTTGCGATCCTGACATGAATACAGGACGCGTGTTGAAGGCTTACTGACGTGTAGTGGCGCCAGGACCTCGGCATCAGAACAACGGCATCCTTCTCTTGAGTGACAGCTCTGGACTCCCTTGAACAAGCCGTCTGCCCCAGCACGCGCTCATAGCAAGCAAGCAAGCAAGCAAGCAAGCAAGCAAGCAAGCAAGCAAGCAAGCAAGCAAGCAGCAAACCTCTTTTGATCTTTCGAAGTCATGTTTGAAGGAGGACGCGAGCGCGAGGAAGAGAAGGAGGCCAAGCAGGGAGGAGACGAGCGGGAAGCCGTACGATCACTGCCGGGAGAGCGGGCTGTGGTGCGAGGAGACGCGACCGTGCTGGCGCTGTGTGATTGCGGGGCTGAGCTGCACGGACAAGGGGGAAGGGGGGCAGGGGGGAGGGAAGGGGGAGGAGGGAGTGAGATGGGGAAGGGGAAGATTGCAGGGCCAGGGGGATAGGGAGGGAAAAGGGAGAATATGAAGGAGGGAAAGAAGGAGAGAGAAGGGGACAGGGAACAAGGGGAGGCTGACTGGAAGGGTTTGTTTTGGGTTTGAGCCAGCGAGTGCGGATGCTTTTGCGTGGTGGAATCATCAGCGGGGTGAGGGAGAAATAATCTGATTGCATCCGGTTGAATCGGTTGGTTGTTGTAAGTGTAAGACCATTTTTCTTTGGTTTTGAATCATCGCTTTGATCAACAGATGCCTTTCCTTTCCACAACAAATGTTGTACACCAGAGCAACTGGTGCTCTCCCTCCTTCCCGGAGGTTGTATGTACAACAACAAATTTCTGAAACTTCGTCTGCTCTTGACCCAATATTTCACTGCTTCTCTGTCTCAATATCTCCAACTCGTCTCTGTGTGTTGCAAGTAGATACTCTTTCGCTTCACGGATACGCCTGTGGTCATGGTCGGTAGTTGAGACGGGCAGAGTTCTTGGTTCCCGCTAATTCACTCCTCGCACGAAGCTTTGCTGCACTCGATTTTTCTTATCGCTCCTGTTCTATACAGAGGAAATGAGCGAGATATATATAGAGAGAAAGACAGTCAAGCGGAGGTTGAATGTATGTTTGAGAATGATAAGACCAGCCGAAGTATCTCACTGATACCAGTCGTGTTGCCTGACCCGACAAACCCATCGTCTCCATGACTTCACAGGTTTCTCTTCACCACCCTTCCTCGCCATCCTCGCTACCAATGTCACATACATCGTTCCCTTTCCTGAACATGGTCAACACCAACCTTCCTTGCATCAACTTTGGACACTTCTTCTTCGTTGAGGTCTTATTCTTCTTCTCCCTTCCACCTTCTTCCCCTTCCATCTGTCCCATTCTGTACCCTCCGCCCTCTTTCCCTCCCCCCTTGCTCCCGAAATTTCTTAAGATTTTCCTGCCGGAAATAGATAATTCCGAAACAGAAAAACCACCCACCCCCATCACTCATTTCGACATAGTGCAAGGGACCCCTCCTAAATCTAGTACAAAGTTTAGTCATCGTGACATTTTTTTCCCCATTCCTGGAGTCACGATTCACCATAGGCCACCCCTCCACAAATTGAATCCATGACACCCCTACTCGATTGTCACCCCTACCCATACGTTTACCAGTCATTACCCACCTTTTTGTACTTATCACCCACCACATCCGGATAAATCCGTGATACCCCACCCCCCCATTTTCTCGCCAATCCCGAGGTTCGTTCCTCTGACGCGCTTCAAGTCAAATTTCCTTCGTCAACGCACCAGCCCCCGTACACTCCTGCTGCTTCTGCCCCTGCGCAGCGCTCCTTTCATCAGCTCCTCTCCTTACTCCTGCCCCTGCGCAGTGCTCAGCCGCTCCTTTCATCAGCTCCTCTCCTTACTTGCCTTGCCGTGGCTTCACTGAGACTTGTGACACAATCATTTCACGGCATTGCCATTACTAGGCCTCCACTCGCTACCCTCCTGCAAATCTCCTGGATACCTCAAATGCCTCCTTATCCCTTCGTCTCGCATGAGTCGTGCCTTGCATCGTATACAAACCTAACCTCATTACTGACATGTTGTGGCGCCAGGACCCCGGCATCAGCCTTGAACAACCGCATCCTCCCTTCCCAATCCTCCTTTCAATCCAACACAAGCTTCCTGCCCCAGCACGCGCCCATAGCAAGCTCATCCCTACCCCCAGGTCATGTCATGACCTCATGGAGGCCCGGAGAGATCAGTACCAAGGCTTCTTGGAAACACGGGTGGGGGTGACTAGGGTGTGTACGAGCAGGGGATACTACAGACACGATCTGGGCGCCAGCCGTCTTGAGGTCGGGCGCAAGTCTTTGGCAGAGGCGATGAGCCAAGAGTGCCCGTCAGGGCTGCCGTCGGTGGACGACGAGCTGCCGTACCTGCAGATGTCGTCGTCGGACGTGGAGAGCTTCCTGGAGCCCGGGGGCGAGGACGTGCCAGCGCCGTCCCAAGGGAAGCGGAGGGCGGCCAAGGCGTGCGAGGGGTGCAGGAGAAGGAAGCTGAGGTGCGACGACGGGCGGCCTTGCGGGCGGTGCATGGAGGACATGCAGGAGTGCGTGGAGGAGGACGCGAGCGCGAGGAAGAGAAGGAGGCCAAGCAGGGAGGAGACGAGCGGGAAGCCGTGCGATCACTGCCGGGAGAGCGGGCTGTGGTGCGAGGAGACGCGACCGTGCTGGCGCTGTGTGATTGCGGGGCTGAGCTGCACGGACAAGGGGGAAGGGGGGCAGGGGGGAGGGAAGGGGGAGGGGGGAGATGGAGGGGAGGAAGAAGGAGGAAAAGAGGCTAGGCCTGGAAGGAGCAAGAAGCAGGAGGCGAGAAAGAAGGAGAGAGAAGGGGACAGGGAACAAGGCGAGGGCGAGGAGGTCGGACAGGTGAATCGGATCTGAGAGAATGGAATGCTTTTGTGGAGGAGAGTAAAAACTGAACGTAGAGGGAGTACGATTAGGAATAGCAGTGGTTGAGGCTTCTGTTGGCATCATCGATGCAGTGTACCACTATAGGCTGACGATGTTGAGCAGTGTGGATCAATCGTTTCTCGCCATTTATGTGATGGTCCATCTATGTAAACCTCATTTCTTTCCGCCTCCCCCCCCCCCCCCCCGCTCGCCCGCCTTCGTCTTTCACCTATACAGTAAAGTCTAATGATTCCTGAGAGTGCTCAAGACTTTCTCAAACCATGCTGGTCCTGTTGGAAAGCTTGTCAGCTATCGCAGGGCGCAGCGGTCACAGTCACAGCTTACTCTGTGCCTCAAACAGGTAGGATTCCTCGTTCAGCCCTGCGTCATCGGGCCTATCAAAGGGTTTCCGGATCATTGCCGGAACCCTGTAGGTCGAGCTGTGCAAGAAGAACCTGTCGTCATCCCACTGTTTCGCGATTTCAGCGATGTATTTTTGGATCTCACTCGCACTGTCATCCCCCCCTTTGCTCTTTGAAGAAGCCTTGTAGATGGGGTCCAGCAGCAGAGGACAACCAAGGACGGACAGATGCGCTCGCACCTGATGTTTCCTTCCCTGCATAGGAGTGACCTCGATTAAAGAGGCTTTCGTTCTCTTTCCGCTGCCGGGAAACTTTTCGAGGACTCGCCATGAGCTCTGGGCAGGGAGCCCATCTACCTTGGCATCGATCGAACCACAAAGGACTTCTCCTCCTGTTTCGTCGGTGGGACAAGACGGAACAAGCGCCTGATAACACTTCTGGACTTTCCGCTTGAAGAACAGAGACGCCAGGACAGCATGTGCCACGTCAGACTTTGCGATGAAGAGGATTCCGCTGGTGCCCTTGTCCAGCCTGTGAACGATTCCTGGAAACTCAGAGATCTGACTGAGACCCTCCTCTCCGTACACTTTGATCAGAGCATCGGCAAGGGTGAGACTGGCCCGGCCTTTGTTCGGGGTAGACTTGACTGGGTGCATTTGGACCCCCGACGGCTTCGACACTACCAGAACGTCGTCGCTCTCAAAGAGGATCTCCATGTCTGGGAAGACCTCCTTCAAGGGATGGACTTGACCTGCTGTCCCTTTACCAAAGGAGAGTGACTTCTGTCGTTTCTTCATCTGACGAGTCACCCCAGACGCCTTCCTGCTCGCTGCCGCAATCTCCTGAGCCTGCAGCAGCAGCATTTTCATAGCGCCGAGCTCTCCCTTCCTGAAGCATGCTTCTATGCACACAGAGAACGAGATGAGATCAGGTCTGAGTGTCATCTCGTCTAAGATCCTCATGGCCAAGTCATGATCCCTTTCGCTCACTGCTGCAAGAATACAGTTGAGAGCCGAGGCTTCTTTCCCGACCGATTCCTTCCCGACGATCTGAGACAGGCCGATCCATTCCGTGCTGGTTTCAGGAGGAGCAAGACCGTGACTGCCGTCTTGCAAAAAACTCTGCAGCCCATCTGTCCCGTTTAGCTTGAAGGCCTCGGAGGCTGCGCTCGCAAAGTCTTGGAAGCCACCAGCCACGCTCTCAGACGCGCTGACGCCGTTCTGAGGTGCATGCTGAGTCATAGTTCGCGGAGAGAGCTGCCCATGTCGGCATTGCGATAGTGTTCGGGTGCTATAACCCCTCCCGAACAGACCTGAGTTTTGGGGCATCCAGGATGGTTGCCTGCACACCGGAGTAAATCGAAGGGACGCAATTCAAGAGGAGGAGAATGTGGTACAGCTAGATCACTGTTCGCCAAGTTACTCGCCTCGCATGCTTACCTTGTACATGTCTCGCACGGGTGGTGGAGGAGAGCGCGAGGCGACCAGCAAGACGATGCTCTGCCTCGAAACTGGCGTACTAGACGTTGGCAAGGGGGGGGCTCGGAGGGTCGACAACGCATTCGAAGAGGTGCCACAAAGAAGGGCTGCAGGAGAGGAAGGAACGAGCTTGCCTCTATCGACCAAGTCCTTGAATCAGAGGTGCATGAAGCTTCATAGCTGCTGGAGAAGCAGGCGGATGAAGGGATCAGGTCAGTTCGGAACGAAACCTGTTGCTGCATTGCTGCGTTTCGGCTTGCGGCAAGCAGTTGACGAGAGGAGGAGGAAGGATGCAGGATTCTATCTCTGCATGAAGGAGAAGTTGCCACCACAGCCATAGCCGCCAGTCTCTCCGCCCCGCCCACCAGTAGCACCCATAGGGCTCCCCTTGCGCACGCCATTGCGACAACTACGGCTGGTTTTACTTATCACCAATCTAATACGTAAAGTCCAGCCCCCCTCAGAATGGAATGATAGTGTCTGCTGCGAGGCAGTTTGATGGTGGCATGGATCTCCGCTCCGAGTGGCACCGGCAATGTGAGTGCTGACTCTCGCGGCACAGGCTGGCCCCGGGCCCCGGGCCCCGGCCGGGCCGTCGCAGCACGCGTCCTGTACTCAAAGTTAAGTTAAAAATCAGTACGAGGACAATCAGGAGCGGCCGCGCCACTGCCGTACCCTCCTTTACTCAAAGTTAAGTTAAAAATCAGTACGCAGTCCGATGATTCGGAAGTCACGAGCCCGGCGGACTGATCGGCAGCCGGGCCCGGAGGCGGCCCGAGCCTGACCGTGAGTTTTCAGTGCGCGAAAGGCCATCCATGCACAGGCAAACTGTAACGATACACCGGCAGAATGGAAGAGGGTGTGAGAGGAATGCAGAGAGAAATTTGTGAGGACTCCTGAGATGGTGTCTGATGTGATGGCTGAGAACATGTTGTAGACAGAGGGGAGAACATCACATGGAAAGAGGGTAGAACAAGGCATGAAAAAGAGGGATTTGACATAATGAATCTCTTACCCAGCCTCTGCAACTGGAGCAAACAACTAACCTTGAAAGCTAATAATCTCTTCGAGAGTCGCCGTGTGCTGAAGACTCAGCAGGCTGCTTTATGCTCGTCAAGCTCACTTGGAAGGCCGAGCAAGATCGCCTGCGGGACCTTGCCCATCAAGCAAAGGAGAGGTAAATCGTTTGTGCTGCTTGATAGAAGAGCGATGTATGAATGCTTGGATGCATCATAGGTTGGGTATCTCCACCAGCGTTGTTCAGCACGGGCATGTAAGCTCTTGCCATGGTCTCGTGTGCGCGTCTGAACTTCGCTGCTCCAGTCCATCACTGCTGGCGACCGCAAGTGGGCGAGGGAGCTGAGGCGAGGAAGTCACAGCAAGGCATTGTAGCAAGGTAAACAAGAGTGTTCATCCTGCTAGGATGACCTCTGCGACAGATGTTCGGAGAGCAACTTTGGTTCATGGGTGCTGCACATGAGTACAACCCCAATGACGGTATCGACTCACGATGCTTTCATTGCAGGTGACACAACTCTAACTTCCGTTGTAGATTCGTCATGTGGTACTGGCGATTGTGCAGATGTCGAACCGTGAGTTTCTTTTCATTGAGAACCTCATGAACATCTTCATGTTTTTCAGCTCCACTTATTCTCACATCTTCCTCTCATGCAAAGCTTTCCACAACTCACCTTCTTCGTTGCCTTTCGCTCTCATGCATTCGGGCATTAAAGCTAATTCACCGCAGTTATGCTTCATGGAATCGAGATCTGCTGTCTTCGATGCCAACAGAAGCCCAGTGAGCATGCGACCTGAGCTCTTTCATGCTCTGACTCAATCGAAGGTATCGTAAGCTCCTGACGGACCCGAGCAAGATCTGGTGCTTCACGGGACAGGTAATGATATGCCGCATGTGGATTTGTTGAGATGCTGTGGAGGACTTGATGGATCACTCAGACTATGAAAGAGATTGATCGAGTGTGTAAAACGCCAACCGTGACTGACTGGCACGCTGCAGGCAGGTCTTGGCAGGGCATATAACCCGAACTTGAAGTGTTGAGCGTGAAAAGGTTTTGCAGAATCGTTCCTGTTTCAACTGTTCGGATGGAAGTCATAAAGTAGTAACCTTAACTTGAGCTTGAGCTAGCAATCTGACCCGCGGCCGGGGCCGGGGAGTCCGTCACGTTGGTCCGGCAGCCTCCCGGGCCCCCGCCATCCTGCCTCATCTGGGCTGTGCATCCGAGACTTGGCTCAGTTACCCACTGACGGTCACTGGCCCGGCCCGACCCGCAAGGACTCGGGACTGTCAGCGGCCCCCGGCCCGGCCCGCCGCCGGCACTGAGGCGAGCCTGGCAGTGCACTGACTCAGTGAGCGGCAAAGAAAAGCAGAAAGAAAAGATCATGAGTGGTATGTGGGGGGATGAGGACAAAGTAGGGGATGTCGGGGAAACTGTCCGACGGGATGGCGAGGTCTAGAGGGGAGGAGGAGGGGGAGAGGAGGAGGAGGAGAGGAGGAGGGGGAGAGGACAAGCAGCTAGGGACATGCGGAGCGAGGCAGTATAGGGGGACTGGAGGAGGTGATGCTGAAGAGAGGAATGCAAGCGATTAGACGCAAGCTAGGAGAGTCTATGTAGTTCGAGCAGTAAAGAAAGTGTGGAGACGTGGTAAAGACTGTCCGGGGACGATAACGAGGATGAGGAGGTGGGAGCACCATGGTTCAGGACGAAATGATACTCCTCAGCGAGCATTGATGCATAGAGAGTGGCGTGTCGGACGGCAAAGTCGATGTTGCAGGAAGAAAGTGGAAGGGGACGTAAGGAGGGGAGGGAATGGAGTAGGAGAAAAGGGTGGACCATGGTCAAAGCGAGTCCCGTGGCATGGCCAGCATGTCCATAGAAGCTGGAGCTCGTTTCAAGACGAATCATGCGTTGAACAAGCATTTTGTATCTCCCAGGAGCCAAGTCTGCAAGTTCTTTACGATTCATGCTTAACGGAGTTTGATGCAGCATCCGATGACAGATGAGCGAGCTGAGAGGGTGAGTTATCTCACATTTCAACTTGCTTGATGTTTAGATGGAAGTGCGCTCAAACTTTCCTCCAAGGCACCGGAGAAGCAGCGAAACGTCGAGTATGAAGAGATCGAGTTGTCCACTGTGCGTGACAACACGGAGCATTCTAGCGAGGAGAGCAGGTTATCTGAAGTTGTAACCTGCCATCACTGACATGACCTCTGTCATCCCTCCCTCCCTCTGTCTGCATCAGCGCGCTGAAGAGCGACATCGAGCTCGGATCGTGAGCTGTGCGCTGCATTACGATTGGAGCTCAAACTCTCCCTTGCTCAGATTCTCATTGAAGAGACTGCTGTCTGACAAGACTTTCCATGATCCCAAGGAAGACACTGAGGTATTTCATCCGCTCCTCCTCTCTCCAGCATCTGATCTCGTACCAGCTGTGGACATCTCGGATCACATACATCCTCGCTGCTGTAGGAAGGTTGATTCAGTTTGCATTGTTCCGTCCCTCCCCTCCCCTCCCCTCCTCTCTTCCTCTCCTCTCTTCTCCTCTCTTCCTCTTCTCTCCTCCACCTCCATTCTTTCCTGCTCCGTCCTCTTCCCCTCCCTCACTGCTCTTTCCACTCCTAATCCCCGTTCAACTCACTTCGCTCTCCCCTCATCCTCCCCTCCTCCCCTCTGCCCCTACACCTCCCCTTCTCTGCCCTTCCTTTCGTATCCCCGTCTCCTCCTGCCAAGCTTCTTACAAGCTTCCTCTTTTTCTCCTACTCTTGTTGTCTGTATGACGTTGTGGATCGTCAGTGCCGTCGGCCTAGGAAACATATGGAGGTTTCCTTTCCTGTGCTACAGAAATGGAGGAGCGACTTTCCTGTACGAGTTGAAGAGGTTGGGAGGGAGTTTTGACTAGCCTCAAGCATCCCTTACTTCATCTCGCTCTTCGCCCTGGGGATTCCGCTGTTTGTGCTCGAGACCACCATGGGGCAGGTACGAGGAGGAGCAGCAAGGAAGGAGGAGGAGGGAAAGAAGGAGGAGAGGAGGAACAAGGCAAAAGATACCGCAATATGGGGAACAGGGATAGGAGGATTGAAAGAGGCAGGGAGGTTAAGTGGAGAGAGGCAGGGGGCAGGGGCAGGGGCAGGGGCAGGGGCAGGGGCAGGGGCAGGGGGGCCAAGGCAAAGAAGCAGGAAGTGAACTTCAACGGTCGAAATGAAAAGTTGACACGAGGTTGACGCGTTTTGGATTTCAGGGATCAGGAAAGAGTGCGCTGGGAGCGTTTTTTGACATCTCACCTCGCTGCAAGGGAATCGGATATCTATCCTTGGTATGACTGCTCTAGCTGCAGAAGGAGGAGGAGATGATGGAGATGATGATAGTGGAGATTATGATGGAGAAGGTGGAGATGGAGATGGAGATGGAGATGATGATGATGATGATGATGATGATGATGATGATGATGATGATGATGAGGGGGAGGAGGATGGATGGAGGAGGAGGAGTGATTTTTTTTGTGTTTGTGTTGTTGTTGTTGTTGTTGTTG